TGATTGCGAGTTTAGGGTTTAGGGTTTAGGGTTTAGGGTTTAGCTCCTGGGTCCTCTTTGTGGGGCTTTGGGTTTAGGGTTTAGGGTTTCGGGAAGTTGAGGGTTTAGGGAAGTTTAGGGTTTAGGGAGGTTGAGGGTTTACGGAAGTTTAGAGTTTAGGGAAGTTTAGGGTTCAGGGCTTAGCTTAGGGTTTAAGGTTGGGGGGTGTTCTGTTAGGATTTAGGGTAAAAGGTGATAGGGCTTCGGGTTTAGTTTCTGTTCTTCGGGTGTAGGGCTTTGCAGGAAGTGTTTTGGTTGGGCTGAATATAGGCGGCATTCGAAAAAAACGAGTGCATTCAAAGCCCTAAGGGTCCATGTAGGCCGAAGGTATGCACTACTATGGTACATGGACCCTCAGGGTTTTGTGGGAGTTCTCCAAGGGCGTATTTGGTCTAGGGGTATTTCAGGCCCAATACCATTCATGTATCTCTTGTCTACGCAAGGATATAGGGCCCCTCCATGATTTCAGGGCTCGCTACAACTAGTTTGATGGGCATGTTTTCTCTCAGGAGTATGAGGCTTGCGGGCTAAGTCTTAGTTTGAATAAACCCTAAACCCTAAACCCTAAACCCTAAACCCTAAACCCTAAACTTAGTTTGGGTGTTGGGTTGTTGTGGGCTTCCTCGCACACACAGGGTGGAGCTGCGAAGCCACAAACCTGCAGAGTCCATGTGCGCAATTAGTATATAAGTTGGCCTTAGAGTAGTCCCTACAGGGGTACTTCGGGACCCAGTGTATATTACCACATGGTTTAGGGTTTAGGGTTTAGGGTTTAGGGTTTAGGGTTTAGGGCCATCTCAGCAGTTTCAATCGCAGGTCATACAATCATGCGGACTGTGCTGCACGGTTGCTAGGACCTCCTAAGTCGCCGGGCTTCCAGTGGGATACCCTACAATGCAGAGACCCGCAACAACCCCAGATAATATACATATGGAGCTTGGAACAATTATGATTATCCTTCAAGGGAAGAACAAGAGATCATGCAGAACAAGCTCTTGGAGGCGCTCACCCTGATCTACGATGGGGAAAAGATGTGTTTGGGCGGGAGACCGAGGACTATGTGCATCCTCCGTGGAAGTTCAAGGCATCTTTCGACAATTGTCAGTGAGGTTGGTCACAAGCAAGCCAAGACTGTGCTACTATTCAGAAAGCATTTGACACCACCCCAGCGCTATCACAACAACGCCACCCCCCAGAACAAGATGCGGAAATGGCCGGTGCCGAAGCTGACGCTGGCTCCAGCCTTGGTTCCTCCGCGAGGGCCGGGCAGTCCAGGGCATGGCCGCGAAGACCCGTTACCAGCTGAACCGATGATGTTCAAGGACAGCTTTGTGCAGTACGATGACCCCCGCTCATGTGTTGTGCATGCCGAACGTACTCTATTGTTCTGAGGAGTTTGCAGTGAGTATATGAATGAAGTTGGCATTGGATCTCAGAATATTGTTACCCTAAGGGTCCATATACTGATATAGTATATTCATTGGCCCCAAAGTACCTACACAGGGACTACTTTAAGGCCAACCAACTTATATACCATTTGGGCACATGAACCCTCAACTTCCTACATGAGACGGCGTAGCACCTTATAGTTTAAATAAAACGTAATACTATATCGCATTTTTAATTAATGGGCATGGACTCTCTGGGTACAGCTCTTTCGAATCCATGGGTATAGGAACCCTTGACCCCTAAACCCCAGAACCCGAAACCCTAAAACTCGCCGAAGCTTGAACCATAAATCCCTTCTGCAACCCTACACCCTATACCTTACACATGTCAAAAACCTCAAGCCCTAGACCCTAAACCCTAACCCTTCTGACAACCCTTGGGTTTGCAGGGCGTGGTTGATCACATCTTCGAGCTCGCGGCCTTCGACGCCTCCTGGGATGTGCGAGATTCGGTCGGGACCTGAACAGGGCTTCTGACCAACCCCTAAACCCTAGAACGAGCCGGGACCCTGGAGCCTAAACCGTACCTGAGCCCCAAAGAACTCACCTTCATAAGGAGTTATGTTAGCGAACAGTGTGTGTCCCGAAAAATGTAGGTTTACTAGGGATCAGGTAGGCTTTAAACCTTGAACCTATACCCGAATGCTTGAACTGTAATCCGCAAACCCTGGCCCCCGAAACTCTGAACCCTAAACCCCGGAAGGCAAAGGGAACGCCACGAAGAGCCTTAGCCCCAGGTAAAAAATGGCAGTTCTCTAAAATAGGGCCAATTTAGGATCCTTTTTTATGAGGGTGCCGTACTATTTTGGGGCCCTTATTTAAAGAACTACCCAAATCCTAAAACTTAAACCATAAAAACCTTGAAAGACACCAACCTCCTAGGGTTTAGGGTTTGGGGTTTGGGGCTTCCTATAAATCCTGGAAGCATCAAAATCCCAAAAAGATCAGCCTCAGAACCTGCAAACCCCAAATTCACCACTCTCAAACCTTCAGCCCTACAGCATAAACCCTTGCAGCTCTTGAGTAATACAAAGGCCTTTTCTTATTACCAATACCATTATGGGGGGGGGGGGGCTCCTGATAATCAATATAGTATATTATACGCCAAAGCCCTATTCGAATTATTAAGGCACCTATCTTATACAACCCTTGTAGTAGCCCTTATAGAACCCTTTAACGAACCTGTTAAAGGAACACCATAAAACCTTATTCTAATTATTAGGACCCCTACAGTCAGCAGCCCATTGACTTACCCAGGCCAGTCCTTCCTAACCCCCCCAAATGTTGGACACACTAAGCCCTAAACCCTAAACCTACGCCTAGAGGCCCATGTACCCACACCGTGTGTGTGTGTGTATACGCAATATATATATATATATATATATATGTATACACGCTTCGGCCTTAAAGTACTCCCTATATAGGTACTATGCATACACACCCCAAACCCCATATAGAACCCTTTTGCTACCTTTGTTGAACCCCTATGGCACCCTTTGAAGAGGGCGCTGTACATGGAGCCTAAGCCTCAGCCGAGCCTAAACCCTCAACCCTAAACCCTATACCCTAAACCCTAAACCCTCAGCCCTAAACCCGCAACTCTAAACCCTCAACCCTAAACCCTATACCCTAAACCCTATCCCCTAAACCCTATACCCTAAACCCTATACCCTAAACCCTCAACTCTAAACCCCAAACCCTGAACCCTATACCCTCAGCCCTAAACCCTAAACCCTATGCGAAAGGCATCTGTCTTCTGTGGAGGACGTTATGCGGACCCTCCAGGAGCAGGGGCTTTTTCTTTTCAGATCTTCATGGATCTTCACTTGAGGAGGTGAGGGTCATCGGTGAGATATCTTAGCTGGGGCTCGAGTTACGACAAGTTTGTGGCCTTACGCATGGGTTTCCGGGAAACCTTCACTCCTGACCACAACGTCAGTTCTATCGGGTTTAGACTGTCTAACATTCCCGAAGGGCCCACGGGACCCAATAATTTGGTATTTTGGTTTCGGATAACTAGTAGTCATGTTGGTTGCTTTTTTGAGGAGAGCATCTGATTTTGAGGTACTTGGACCCTCAGGGAGTTTGTTATGCAACATTGCATGTGCAGTGGAGTCGCAGAAACAAGCTGGTTCTTTGGGACGTGTTATGCTTGTCTCTTGTGGGGCGTAAGAGGATGTTCTTTACGAGCAAGTCTTCAGAAGCTTTGAGGTGCCAACCTAGCAAAAATATGACTTGCCCTCTGGGCTATGACACTGTTGCTCTGTCCTAGGCCTGCTTGTGGCCTTCTGGGGTATATCATACTATACAATTATAATAAGGAACCCAAAACCTTACTCTAATTATTAAGGCCCCTAGATTAGGTTCCGAAGCTCCTTTGTGGTTCTGCGGGCCGCTGGCGAATTCGTAGACCTTGGCCCCTACGTACCAAGACCCCACATCTCCGCATGAAACCCGAAATAAACCCAAAAACCAAAAGCTCCTGAAGGGGAACCTGCACACAAAGCTAAATCGCCGGTTTAGGGTTTAGGGTGTAGGGTTTTGGGTTTAGGGTTTAGGGATCCCTAAGGACCCTAGGTGCTATCCTTAAGGCCCGAAGCCCCACACAGGAGCGCATGGCTTCCGGTCTGGAGCTGGAAAGCAGCCCTCGCGCGGCCATGACGGAGGTGCAGGAGAGGAGGTTTGCAAATGCTTAGGGCTTGGGCTTCAGGGTTTAGTGAGCTAGGGTTTACCCATAGGCCCCATAGCAGTTCCTCTCTGGGGTTCATATTTAGAATCCTATAAGGTAATCCCAGACAGGAACTACTACGAGGCCTATGGGTAGGCTTTTGGGTTTAGGTTAGGCTTGAGGGTTTGATGCAGGTGCTCCGGGCTGACGACAGGGCTGAGGTGATCAAGGCTTCCCTTAACGGTTTAACGGTTTGGGGTTTAGGATGTAGGATAAGAGTTTTGGGTCAGGGTTTAGGGGTTTGAAGGCTTCCTCAATGAAGGTTCATGGGACTGAGCAGCTAGGGTTGTAAGTTAATTATACTTACCACTAGTTGTCTCGCCAGTGAACGTGCCTGTAACTATGCTTACTATGTCCCATGAACCTCCAAGTAGGTAATGGGATGTAGAGTTTAGGGGGGGGGGCAAAGGTTGAGCGTTGAATGTGGGCGGTTGCTTGGAGGGTTCTCTTGGGTGTATTACGAAGGTTGTCGGTTACCAGAGGGGTTTTGCTATGTCGTAGTATAATTCTGTTTGCCTGTAAGGTGATACTTTTTGTGACGAGTCCCCACTTCTTTATAGCCTGGTGGTGATTTCTCGGGAATGGAGTAGAGTTGGTCCTAGAGAAGCAGAGGAGATGCGATATGCTTCCAGAAGGGTCCATGTGCCTACATATAGCATATATTTTGGCCTTAAAGTAGTCCCTACATGTGTGCTTTGGGGCCAAAGTATCTACTATTTGGGCACATAGACCCTTAGGGAAACCGAAATCGATGATCAGCCTGCACAGGCGGACAGTTTTCGTCGGCTTGCGATTCGTGACAAAGCCTGAGCGTGTAATTGTGAGAGCCGCTCGTTAGCCTTAAATGTACATGTTTACAAGTCAGGGTGTTTTAGGGTTTAGGGTTCAGGCTTTGAGTAGTTAAACGTGCTTTCAGGTAAGGATAGCCACGGCGGCCTTTATTGTTGGAGCGATCTAGTCTCAGGGTTCGAAAAGCCCTATGTCCTATGTCCTAAACCCTGAACCAATAACACCGAAACCATATAATCGCTGTAGCTGTAATGCCTCTAAGCCCTAAAACCAGAAGGAACCCTAGACCCTAAGCCGACCTGACGGAACCAAGTAATATTGAAACCAATAATACCTTGCATTTGGGCTCCTCATTGCAGGTATGGTGCAAATTACCCCAAAAGTCTTTTCTAAGTATTAAGGCCTCATCAGCACCTATAAAACCCCGTAAAACCTTACAACAGCCCTGTTCTATTCATTAAGACCCCTAACATACGTATCAGAACCGATATAAAGCCCTATAACGCCTGGTCAACACCACGTGAATGAGAGACGTCACGAGCACAGGTCTCAGAACATGGGTGGAAGCTGCCCAAACCCTTACCCTAAGGGTCCATGTACCCAAATAGGATATTCTTTGGCCTTAATGTAGTCCCTATATAGGTACTTTGGGGCCAATGTTCTACTATTTGGGTACATGGACCCTTAGGCTTAGCCATAATTCAAGTTGGTAAAACCCATAGCAGCAAGGCCCACATCATTAACCGAAGCCTGTAGAAGTTCATGCAAAAAGGATCCTACACAAAGCCTGTAAGAGCCCCTATTTATAGATGTTAAGGGCTCCCTATATTGTGCATAATATCCTAGTAACCTTCCCTGTAGTAAGAGCCCCTCTTCTGACTATCAAGGCCCCTCTAAGCCCCAAACCTTCAACCCTGAACCCTGCTTGTTGCCCCCCCCCCAAACTCATAAATTTAGAATACGGTTGATGGTAGAAATCCTGCATTACCCAGAATAAGGAATATACCATACTTCCCACAGTAAAGACATGCAGGTTTTATGTCATCAGCAGTAGTAGGTTATGACCCCTGAGTGAAAGGGCCAAACCCTTGAAACAGTCCGCTTGGGGAGCCACCACCCCCTAAACCCGAAACCCTAAAACCCTAAACCCTAAACCCTAAAACCCTAAACCCTAAAACCCAATACCTAAACCCTAAGCCCTAAACCCTAAACCCTAAACCCTGACCCTATACCCTAAACCCTAAACCCTGACCCTATACCCTATGGGGCCGTCATGGTAGGAGCTCATGGCAGTCTCTGAGAGCCGCCTCATGCAGCGCACGAAGAGCGAGGTGGCTTTTGGGTTTAGGGTTTGGCTCCGCGACGGCCAGGGTGTTTATAGGATTTCAGTTTGGCTTCCCTAAACCCTAAACCCTAAACCTTTATGAGTGCTGTTTAGGGTTCTGTATGGTTGTATGCGAGTTTTCGCGGTCTTAAAGGTTTCTGGTATGTGTCCTTTCAAAAACCCCTAAACCCTGAACCCCAAACCTTCATGGTGGATTTATGAGGTTTTGGCTTCTCACGATCTAGGACATTTTCAGGTGGGTAGTCACCGTTATAGGAGCCGTTTTCGAAGGGCTCTATACCTTATGGAAGCCGTATAGAAGCCCTATATAACCTAAACTCCCCCCTTGTAGTTTCCTTTAATAGATTCCCCCTAAACCCTAAACTCTAAACCCCTAAACCCTAAACCCTAAACTCCCCACCTCTAGTTTCCTTTACCACCATGTCGTGCAAAGCAGGATCCGCGAAGGCCGAGCGCCAAGGCGACCTTGAAAGCTCGGGGCAACCCCGAAATCCCAGAGACTCCAATATCCCTTAATTAAGGAAAATACCTTAAAATTAGAGTAGGATCCCTAATCTGATTTAAGGTATATTCCCTAGTAGGCTCCCTAATATGATTTAAGGTATAGTCCTGAATTAAGGGATATTGGAGTCTCCGAAATCGAAAGGTGTTCAAAAACACCCTACAACGGGAGCTTGTTTAAGGATCCCTCGATTTAGCGGTTTACGGTTAAGGGCTTAGGGTTCAGGGTTTAGGGTTAGGGGCCGTTTAGGGTTCAGGGTTTACGGTTAAGGGTTTACGGTTAAGGGTCATGTCCGACAGATTCACCTAGCCAGCTGCGGCCGCAATTGTTAAATTCGTGCTCACAATTCAGAAGTGGACATCGAGAAAGTAGGAAGCCAAGTTTGGATTTGCGGTTTACGAAATTCACGTTATGCAGCGAAGCATACAGCCCTAAACCCCACTTTTTGAATCACAAGATATGGAAGGGACACATACTAAATGCTATGATCATGGTTAGAGGAGTTCAGTCCCTGATGCTTAAACCTCAAATCCCAAACTCTCAACCCTCAACCCTATAAACCTGTAGACCCTATACCCTCAGCCCTAAACCCCATACCCTAAATCCTAAACCCTAAACCTTAAACCATAAACCCTAAACCCCTAAACCCTCAAAATCTGTAAGCCCTAAGCCGGAGGTGGAAACTCTTCGCTTGCAGCTGGCCGACCTAAGGGCCTTGCTGAACGATGGCCTGGACCTGCGAACGGCCGCATGTCCGCGAGGTTTAGGGTTTAGGGTTTAGGGTTTAGGGTTTCGCGAAGCAGTCGGGCTTTCGGGGTTTAGGGTTTAGGGCCTATAGGGTTTATAAGTTTAGGGTCGGGTTTAGGCTTTGCGGGTTGCTACAACAGGGTTGCTTAAACGGGATCTATGAATATAGATGCCTAAACAATTACTATGATTATTCCTAAGGGTTCCTTACTATAATTATACTATGAAGGAGGCCATGACCGTACTCTGATTACTAAGGCCCCTACATTGATGGTTTGGGGTTGAGGGTTTAAGGGGTTGGGGTCTAGACTTTTTGCACCACCACCTTGCCCGTCATACCCTACCCCTGTTTTAGTGTACCTAGTTCCATGGTTAGGACCGATCTGTCGTCTAGAAAGTAGGTGCCAAACAAACGCGTAGGCTATGACCCTATACGCAGGATTTTCGGCCAAACCTGTTGTCTAAGGTTAGAAGTACAGGCCCCCAATGGGTCCCTAATATGGACCCTTAGGCCTTTCTAGGGACCCTTAAGGGGTTCATATAGGGTACAAAGAAGGTGTATAAGGATCCCAGGGTTAAGGGCCTGTACCAGGGGCCCATGGTTTCAACCTTAGATTAGGGTTTAAAGATTTGAAGCTTGAGAGTTTAAGGTTTAGGCTGCCGTTCACGGCTCGCGGGAGGTGGGGTTCAGGGTTAATGGTTTAGTGTTTATAGGGTTTTGTGATGGTTTAGGGTTGAGGGTTTAGTAGTTTAGGGCTTTGGGTTTAGGGTTTAGTCTTCTTTGCCGAGAGGGTCCTTATATTCCATTATGGAATTAGGTCCCCAAACCAATAACAGGGATGGTCTTCTATAGGGACCCTCTGCGATCTTGTTGGTGTAGGATTGAAAGGGGGAAAGGTCACCAGTCGTGTAAAATGGTGTTGGTAGGGCTCGAACCCCTAAACCCTAAATCCCTGAACCCTACACCCTAGAACAGCAGCCTTGCGCCCGAAATCCGAAACTTCAAACCCAAGCCCCAAGCCCTGTAAACCTACCCAAGCCCCTTTCCGGATTGCTCGATTCGTATGACTCGTTTACAGAGCTTTACTTCTGAGAGCATGGTTGTAGGTCCAAAGTGCTGGCGCTCTGCAACTTTGAATCCACTAAACCGCAAAGTCCCCGACCGTTCTGGGTTTCGTGGTAATTAACAGGACTTGCAAGGGGCCAGGTAACCTTGTTGTGCCTAGTTTGTTGGTGTCAGAGACCGGCCCGAATCCCGGATAGACCAAAAACCCTCAGCACCAAGGTAGCGAGAGGGACGATAGGGCTGCGAAAAGATTCTGCCATGTTGCCTTCATAATGTAAAAACCTGATTAAGAAACCCTGGTTCCATACCCTAAGCCCTACCTAGACCCCAAAGAACCTACCTTTTTTAGGGACTTTATTAAGGACATCACAATAAGGAACCCTAGAAAGGGAGGCTCTTAAGGGCCCAGGTAAACCCTAAACCCTTAGGGTTTAGGGTTTAGGGTTCCGTCGGGATGCCTTCTGTGACCATGAACAAGCCCTCGGCCCTGAAACCCAGTAGTTATGCCCCCTCCTTAGTCATGGGGCCTGTAGGGTTCGGCGTTTAGGGTTCAGGGTTTAGGGCTTTAGGGTTTTAGGGTTTAGGGTTTTAGGGTTTAGGGTTTAGGGTTTAGGGTTTTAGGGTTTTAGGGTTTTAGGGTTTAGGCTGTAACCTTTAGAACTGTAGGCTGTGGGATCGGCAGGTTGGGCCCACGTAGCCCGAAACCCGCAAAGCGCAACATTCGAAGTCACTCCGAGGCTGCTGCCGCAGACCTGGAAAGGCGGATGTTGGCTGCCGGGTGCTCACCCAAAGGATCTAGTTTTCTAAATTAGGGTCCGTTGTCCCTAAGGGTCCATGTACCAAAATAAGGTTCCTTTAGGGGTTCCTTTAGAGGGTTTCTATAAGGGTACTATAAAGACTGTGAGGGTTTAGGGTTTAAGAGTCCATGTGCCCAAACAGTATATACATTGGCCCTGAAGTACCTATATAGGGACTACATCAAGGCCAAAGTATATGCTATTTGGGTACATGGACCCTAAGGGTGTTGGTCCCACGCATCTAAAACGGATCCCAGAAGGGATTCTGACTTAGAGAACTACCCATGTGCTAGTACAGTATACACTTTGGCCTTAAGAAAGTAGATAGGTACTTCAGGTCCTATGTATCTGCCATGGGACTCTCTTAACCCTCCCAGAGGGGAAGTTTTTGTCCAAGCAGAATCTAAGACCTTAGTTGTAGATCTTCAAGGTTGCGTGTACCTATATTATGGATATATTTAGATATACCATGATGTACATACTTATATGTGCTCCTGCTCCTATATCGTGGCATCAGAGGCAACACTTTTTTCTGGACATTCTATATGGTTGCAAGATTAGCATGTATAAGACATCCTAGTAACTTAGCCTCAAACCCTAAACCCTCTAAACTCGAAGCCCTATAAACCCTAAACCCTAAACCCTACCATACAGCCATCATCTAAACCTCAACTTCCAAACAGAGCTCGCAGAGCTCTCAGGCGGAGAAGAGTGCCACGCTGCTTCGGTCCGAGCTGCACCTTGATCTGTTTAGGGGTAAACCCTACCTGCAACGCCTTAGGACCCCATAATGAAGATCAACTTTTAAAAGTCCCCCTTAAATCTGTCACTTTGGCGTGGTGGCGCCAATTATAGTACACTTTCGAAAGTTGCTAGGAACCTACCAAAGTTGATTATTATTGATTTGAGACTCTCAGCCAGGTCTGCAATTGAGCTTAACATGAGCTCTCTCGTCATGATTGGCCAGGCGAACAGCCATGCTGGATCAAAGATCGACTTGACTTTGTCGAGGTGCCGAGATGCTGTGAGAAGCTAGTGCATGTTCGCAATCTGCATATCCACATGTTCACACACATGTACATCTATCCGTGTATAAGTATGCACATGTATGTGTACATGTACCTACAGGTACTATGTGTACTTATGAATATGTATTATGACACTATGTTTTTGTACATATCTATACATCTATATACAGCAATTTCTAGAAGTGTATACACGTGTACCATCATCTTTGCTTCATGTGTTATGTTATTATGTGTTTACACATGCATACGTATGCATGTATGCATGCATGTAGGTATGTAGGCATGCATGCATGCATGCATGCATGCATGCATGCATGCATGCATGCATGCATGCATGCATGCATGTGTGCATGTATGTATGTCTGTATGTATGTATGTATGTATGTATGTATGTATGTAGGTAGGTATTTAGGTATGTAGGTATGTAGGTATGTAGGTATGTACGTATGTAGGTATGTAGGTACGTAGGTATGTAGCTATGTATGTATGTATGTATGTATGTATGTATGTATGTGTATGTATATGTATATGTATATGTACATGTACATGTATATGTATATGTATATGTATATGTACATGTATGTGTATGTGTATATGTATATGTATGTGTATATGTTTATGTGTATGTGTATGTGTATGTGTATGTGTATGTGTATGTGTATGTGTATGTATGTATGTATGTATGTATGTATGTATGCATGTGTAAACATGTAGACAGTTTCTGCACATCACATGCAACTGGGCTGCTTTGTCTTTCGGCGATGGCTGCTGCGTGCTTCCATCGTGGAGTTCCTTATAGAGGACTGCGGCAAGCATTTGCAGAGGGAAGACAGCCTGCAGCAACGGTAGATGGAAGCGTTGCAGCAGCTTTGGGGATCCTTTGCAGGACAGGATGCGGTGGTGATGCGCAGCACCAACCTCGAGGTGACTCTTGCTCGCTTAACCGGTGCTTCATGCCTCTGGGGTTTCATCCTGTGATCAGGAACAGTCGGTGCCAAGAACTGATAGAGCAGAGCTGTAGAATCAGTTCATGTCCAGAACATTTTTGTTCAAGGACTGTGTGCTGATTGCACTGTTGGGCATGGCGGCTGTGCCACTGCACAAGCTTTTTGAGAAAGAGGGCGCTATTAGAAAGCGCTTTAAAAGATCAAACAGCTTCGTGCATTTTCCGAAAAGGAAAGGGGCGGATGATTCAGAGAAGGAGAATCCCATCAGCACGAGATCAATGGAGATGAATGTGGCCGCCTTGAAGGTGATGTTCTCCTTTTACAAGGTCACTAGTGGTAAGCGGGTTCCCATCACAAAGCTGGAGAAGTCTGCATCTTGCCCCGAATCAGAAGAAATACTAATACTGGTGGAAATAATTCTGCACGAAAAACACAAAGATCAATTGAGATCAATCATATCATCATGAGGTGCAGAAGCTTTATGAAACAGTGCAATGCACTGAGCCCAAGAATGGCGAGAGACAGTTCTACCTGGATGCCTGGGATTTGCGGAGGTTGTATAGCTTCTGCTTGATTCGGCAGAAGGATGCAGCCAAACGTGGTCAAACCCCCCGAGTTGCTTGAGATGCAGACGAAGGTCATTTTATGTAATGTTTTTTCTCGGGTCTTGCAGGCTTGTTCATGGGGTTCCTGCCAAGGCAGCTGGAGTGAGGGAGCTGTTTGACATCATAGTGTCCTTGCGTGAGAACGACAAGGGCTCCGACGATGATGACGAAGAAGGAAGAGAGGAAGAAGAGCTCGAAGAGGACGATCAGCTAGAGGATGAGGAGCCAGAGGGTGAGGAGGAAGTCGAGGAGGAAGATTCCTCTGAGACAGAGCGCGCAGCCGCCAAGGCTCCGGCAGAGGCTGGAGTTGACGCCCCCGACGCCAAGGCTGACGACGGTTTAGGTGTGGGCGATGTGCCGGTGGATTACACTCCAGACGAGCCGAAGTTCCGCTTCCGATCGAAATCTACGTGTACCTTGATGGGTGCCGCTTCCAAGGAGGATTTGCTGGCAACAGGTGCTTCAGGTGCTTCCTACGAGGGTGCCGTGTCGGCTGCAAAGGAGCAGGAGTTGAGCGAGCTTTTGCGGCAGATAGCATTCTACGAAGACGGTTCGCCGAAGGATGATCGCACTGCGTCCCACGACGCAATGCTGATGATGCTGGGGTCCCCAAGCCGAGCTGCGAAGCCTGCAGGCCCGAGGTTTGCATGTATACACATTTGTGGATAACAAAAAGAACATCGAATCCCAACCCGAACAGCAAGTGCAGGTGACGAGGAGCCACCGCCCACATGTCGAAAGCAGCTCTTTCGGGATGATCGTCCTGCCTGGAAGAACCCTCCGGATCAGGCCCCTGGACTGTCCATGTGTGTGTGTGTGTGTTCCCATGATGTTTTTTTTTTTTTGGTGAGGGTGTGCAATCAACGATGCCGAATTGTTAGGTGGACACTTTCGTGGAGGAAGCTGCCCCGCCAGCCCAGCCCGATCCTGAGGATCCCATTGAGGTGGACTCGAGCCCAGAGAAAATCAAGCCGGACAGGGATCAATCAAACGCAAATAAGATTCTACTTAGCTTAGGTTGTGCCAGGTGATCAAGGGGCTGGTGTGCTTTAGCTTTACCGAGTGTTGCTTTTTTGTGGGTATATTCTGTAGGGGATTTCTGGTTAGGAGCCATCGTCTCCGAAGGGTCATGTGGCCCGGATTTCGCCGAGCCGGTTTCACTGGATGCACAGAGGACGCTTCGGCATCATCTGAAGGCCGCCACCCGACGCAAGCGCAAAACCAAGTCATCAGAGAAGCTTGCTTCGGCTCCCAAGAAGAACAATAAGAAGAAGGCGAAGAAAGCTGCGGAGAAAGCTCCGGAGCCGGTGCCGAGCAAGCCGTGCAAGCGCAAGAAGCTCGAGGCTAGCACGGACAGCGTGGAGAAGGACAAGATTTCGAAGCCTGCGCCCAAGCTGGCGAAGGCGGCGGCAAAGGCCAAGGGCAAGGCCAAAGCCAAGCCCAAGGCCAAATCTGCGCCAAAGGCGAAGGCCAAAGTTTCGAAGAACGCGAAAGCCCCGGCCAAGGATGCTGAGCGTCTGCAGCCGGACCGCAAGCGTACAGGCTACAGCTCCTGTGGCACTTTGTTGCTCGGTTGCTCCTCCTGCAGATGGGGGCCCTTGGGATGTGGCACATGCTTGCGACCATCCTTTAATGGGGCTCGCTGGAACTATGTTGCATGCGGGGACTGGGGGGCTTGAGGATTTTGCTCAAAGCTGCAAATAGGGCTAATGGTGTTTCCTGGCCATAAAGGAAGGTATCGAGCAAGAGATGGTTTTGCGGGTGTACCATGCATGCACATGGTTTCAAGACGGCCTTCGTAGGGGCCTCTCTGTGTGTCCTGATCTCATGATTGGCTGTGTTATCAGCTGCAGTCTGCCGTGTTCCCGCATCACACTGGTGATGCTCTGCTTTTGGCCTACACTGGGCACGGGTAGGGGCACCTGCTACTCGGTTCAGATCATATATGCATGTCTTCTTATAAGCTTTTCGAAAGATAGAAAAAGCTTCCTAGCAGGACTGTCCTTTAGAGCCTGGGCCCGTAGATCTTCGGGTGCTTGCAGTGGGGATCTGCTTCTGTCGCGACAACGCAATACGCTTGGACAAAAAAGCCTCAGCACATTACTGATTCCATGTGCAGACGTGTGCGTATGTGTGCAATATAACCATGTAAAATTTCAGCGGCATGTGCTTAAGACAACTCCTGTTGCCAGGTTCTTTTTCCTCGATGAGCCAAAGCTGGAGACTCCGACATCGATTCGTGGAGCCGAACCCCAGTGTAGGCTCGCCGGCTCGCCCCAGCCCAGCGTTGTCTGCAAGAGTACACACGACAATCGTTGCGGCTGCAGTCATGTTGAGATGCAGCACTGCTCCATGCTTCTACAATCATACGTGCAGGCATCGTGCTCAAAGTTCGTGGGTACATGTGTGTCTAGGTGTGCGCCTACACGCCCTGCAAGTGGGCACTGCTTTGCCATGCCTGAACTCGAAAGCCTCCTCGGTAAGCTTCTGCAGCTGAAAGCCCCAGGGGTGCCTAGGCCACATATGGTTCAGTTTTGTTTGGGAACATCCTCGTTATCTGTTGATATGGTTTTTGATCGTGCGGCTGACCAGATAAGGTTCTGCTATGTGGCATTGTACTCCTCTACTTCAACGAGGAAATGAACTTGGACAAGGTTGGATTTCCTAGCCAAGATAGATAATGCCCTACGAAAACCCTTACATCCCCTAAAATCTCCTAACAAAACACTCTGCCCAGGTCTACGACGCCCTGGAGATCTTCGCAGGGGTGGCCTCTCTTACGAGGTGCCTCTCGGTAGCCGGTTACCGGGTTGGTGCTCTGGAATTGAATTTCTGGAACGATTTTCGTGAAGACTTGCCTAGATCTATACGGAACCCAATGGATCTATGCACACCTGCAGGGATGGCGTTCCTGGGCTGTAAATATGGTACTGCAGTTTTGCTTGGTTCTTAAAGGTCGTGCTGGTATCCTTTTTTGGGCTCTGGGCTTAGGGAGGTTTGTGGGGATACCGGTCTGCAATTTAAAAGCTTTCAAAACAGAGAGCCCCAAACACCGCAGGACTGCATCTATCAATATAGCTAGCAAAAGACTATATATAGTCTGTATACATATCCATATACATTGCTAGAACTTAAACCCGTGTACCAAGACCTAGA